GATAATAATAAATATTTGCACATATATGACAAGATACGTTGTTTTTTTTTTTTTTTTTTATTTTGACAATTCATCGGTCGTTTTCTGTGATAAATTTTCTCTGTTCGTTAGATCACGACTAATTTCTCTCTCTCTCTCTCTCTCTCTCTCTCGCTCGCTCGCTCGCGCGCTTTCTTTCTCTCTCTCATTTTTTTTTTAGAATAAAATCCGCTCACGTGAAATTTCGATCGATCGTTCGAACAAACATCGCGTCGAATGAACGCGTTACATACGATCGTGATACAAACAAGTAATAACAATTCATTCATAATGGAATACTAATTGTATCTGGCTTAAACACATTCATGCTCACGTACATATGTATACAATGTATATGTATATGTATAACTTATTTTATCATGACCACGTTGACAATCTTATGTTTCTTTCATTCTTTTTTGGTTTTCGTTCCTTTTATAGCGTCTTTTATAATAATTATCTGAATAACATTTATACATAATAATAATAATAATATATTTTATATAGTACATGCTTCATTTACATGCTGCGTATAAATTAGGTTACAAGGCAATTTAAAAGAAAAGAATAGAAATAGAAATGAAAATAAAAAATCACAAAGAAAAAGAGGGGAGATAATAATAATGCGATAAAAATTAAATAAAAGCAGCAATACGAGTAAATACATCAGACACGATACAAATGATTCTATTCACGATGCAACAATATTTTTCAAGGGCTTAATAAACATAATTATTAATAAACATAAAAGATAACACATAATTTTTTTTTGTGGTTTTACTTGTGATATTTGTCATTTTTCTTTTTTTTCTTTCTTTTTTTTTTTTTTTTTTAAATAGAAAGAAAACACATACAATGTATAATGTCAGGTTTCGACTCAAATGAAATTTAATGAAATGCGATTATTACGGCCTAACAAAATCACAGTTAACAATTGATCCGATTTATATACCAACAAAAAGGCGAAAAAAAACAGAAGCTTTCGAGAAGAGCTTAATAAAATAATAACAAACAACGAACGTAAAACAATTCAAGAAATTTTTTTTAACCATATGTATATTTTAAAAAAATTTTCCATCATTTTTTTTAAATATAAATATACAATTTAATTATACAATAAATTATATGCAATTAAATAATATAAATCGTTGAGGTTTGATCGTTCATTGTTAACGCGTGCTAGCGTCCTCAATTAATAAATCAATTTCTCGAACCATTTTCTGTACGTCGTCGTCGTACATTCTTTTTATACATAAAACATAAATTCGATTTAATTTTTTTTTCTAAATTAAACTTCGTTCTGTGCCCTGAACGAAATACGCAACATAATCCTTTGCTACTCGCGAATTTCGTTAATTAATGAATATTCAACGAATATTCAACGAATATTTTTCTAATTTCGCGAAAAAATTTCTTAAATTTTCGAGTGGTCGAGTTGAGAACGGTCGAGGAAACTCACTTTACCAATAACAATATGAAATATGATACGAGCCATCATTGCCCGACAAAAAACTAGTTTCTAGAAGCTAAATTTCGGCTCGTTCCTTAACGTACGCGAATCGTCTATCGTTACGAACTATTTACATTCGTAAAAATGATACATTACGACGAACGATAACAACGCTCGAAAAATCGGGATTTTTCGTTCAGAGCGAGCCGAGTTGTTCGAAATCGAGATAGAATAAGAACGATAGCTCGTAAGGTTCCAGATAAAAATGAAACAGACCCTCGAATAATACGGATGTTAAAGTGTTTCCAGTTTCGATTTTATCCTTATCGCACAGGAATCAATTCTATGATCCAAGAACGCGTTCTCAAAATCATGGTACCACGAAATTCAAGAAATTTTAATTTTAATTTAATTTCATTTAGCTTGTTTTCTTGAGATAAGGATAAATTATCGATATCCTACATGCGAAAATGAACAGAATTTTTTATCGCTCGTGTCCTTGTTCTTTGAGAAAAATCATATAAAAGGCACATCCGTAATTAGAAAACATTATTTGGAAACAATACGGATTATCACCACGAGGGAGGAGGATCTATTCACGGAACATCGTAGCGTACAATGAAGCCCATTTTAATAAAACAAAAACGAAACCAGGCTCTAAATGGCTCTTTTGTTCCAGGGCATTAATATGCTAATTCAATTATCCGCGTGGTTGCCGGCAAGCCTTTCATGACAACCTCGATCGATCGATGAATCGGCCTTGAAAATCACCATGTACCTCCCCTCCTCCCTCCCCATTTAGTCCGCGGCATAGCTAATTTCGTCGAAGGGAAAGAAAAAAAAAGAAAATTCCCACAGGATTTTCCCCGTTCGTCAGATCTCCGCACGCCGATACACACCATATGCGATGATGGTTGTTTCTCGATAGAACGCACAAGGAGCATGTCCACGGATTTTGCCGAAGAAACGACGAGAAGAGCATACTTCGACAAGATACTACACGATATTTAAAATATCGATATATTATATTAAAAACTAGATCTGCTCGTTGGAATGCTCGATTTCCGAATCTCCTATATATATATATATATGTATAAACTCGAGTCTGAACTCTCCTTCTTCCCGTCCCTCCCTTCTACCTATTCGTTCACCACGGATCATCTTCCAATTTCGTTTCACGAGCACGAAACTTGGATCATTCACGATCATTCAACGTTCGTTGGAATCTATAACAGACGGATGATTCGGACGATCTAGAATATTACGGAGACTGGCCGACGCAGTTGCTCGAGATCCAGCGTGGTGGATGACGTTGCCGTGGATACTTGTTGGGACGATNATATGGCGGCAGAGGGAAACTGGGGAAGCCACCCGGGCTCATGGAAGTGGTCTTCGCTCCTGGAACCACCGAAACGGGCACCTTCGGCTTCCTTCGTGGACGGTACTTGTAGTCCGGGTGCTCCTTCATGTGCATGGCGCGGAGACGTTTCGCCTCGTCGATGAACGGTCTCTTCTCCGTGTCGGACAAAAGCTTCCACTCGGCGCCCAGCCGCTTCGATATCTCGGAGTTGTGCATTTTAGGATTTTCCAGGGCTATCTTCTTCCGCTGTATCCTCGACCACACCATAAACGCGTTCATCGGCCGTTTAATGTGTTGCTCCTGGGACGCTGCTAACGGTTGATTGGTGGCCACGTTCATGTCCTGGCCCACGTGGTGGACCGTGTGCAGATCCATACCGGAGAGGAATCCATAACCGGGATGTTGCTGATGAGAGTTCAACATGTTTGCCTTTTCCTCCCTCACTATTTCTCGATTTAATTTTTCTTTATATTATTTTTATATTACCTTTCGACGTTTCGTTTTTCGACGTAACTTTGCACAAAATATTCGATTTTCCGTCGAACTTCACTCACTAGCGAGCGGGTATCGCGCTCGCTGACAGTTCTCCTCCTCACGTTCATTCAATATCCGATAAATTCTTACATTCCTCTTGTTGTGTTGTTATAATCCGTTCCTTGGAAATTGCGACACGGTAATTACGGGATTACGACATACCGCATATGGGCGAGAGAGAGAGAGAGAGAGAGAAAGAGAAAGAGAAAAAGAAAGAGAGAGAGAGAGAGAAGGGAAAATACACACAAGAGACCAAGGCTTCCTTCGTTTGAGTGCAAGTGAGCGTCGCAAACAGTCGAACGTACTCGAATGGAGTACCGGTGTTGACTGAGCGTGGACTGCCCGTAGGACCGGTCCGCGACCTGCTGGAGGGATCCATTCTTCCTCTCTGTCTCTCTCCCTCTCTTTCTACCCTCGCAACTGTCTCCGTTCGCCTGGATTTCGAGGGCGGAACCGACGCAGAGCGTCGTACGCCGCGCCCACGATCCGACCCTCTTCACGCCATTCGTCGAGGTCGCTGCGGTGCGTGCTTACCTTTTCTACCCTTTCTCCCCCCCCCCCACTATAGGCGAACCCCGACGCACCGACCGGGCCAACACCGAGCAACCCCTCTATAATCCCGCGCCGTGGCTCAACTGCGAGGAGGGCTGCCGATGGTGCCGCTGCCTCGGAGACCGCGAGCTGCAATTATTATTATCGATTACCTCGATACGATGAAGTACAAATAGCGTATAGGCTGCCCCGTTATTGACTACCTCTGTTCGCTGTACTGCTTTTGCACGCCAACGGCGGCGCGATATCGCGCGATAATTGGTTATGCTTGCATCCCCCTCCTTCCCCTTTCTCGTCCCGTCTACGACGACGACGACGACGACAACAACGACGACGATGCGGAGGATTCTTGGTCAACGAGCTTCGAGGATCTTCGATCCATTCGAAGAAGAATCGTTTTTATCTCGAGAACAATCGAGCTCAAATTGCGCGTGATTTTTTGTGAAAGGGCAAGATTCGAAAATTTATTATTCCTTTGATTTTATTCAAGACGAGTTTGAAAGTTTTTTTCTTTCTTGAAATTGGGACAGAATTATTTTTCGAAAAAAAATTACGAAGCTTGGATAATTACGTTTCGATAATTTAATAATCGTTGTATAAACGCGGCGTTCAATCGAGTCAATGATCCGACACAATTACGAA